AGTGATGCCTTACTTTGTCTTACTCTTTCTCATATTTGCAGTTGTAACTGCATAACCAATGCAAGCCTCTCCCTCTACCCTGGATGACTGGCTATTTTCAACGTAATTAGCTGTAGTATCCCGCCCAAGACCTGTTAATTATGAAACGAGATGAAAGCCCAAGGAAATAGGACCTTGGAGAAAAATATAGTAAAATAACCATACTAAATGTGTAGATTCTACCAAGAAAAAACATATTTTACAAATTACATTTCCCGTAAATACCTGATGTACTTTTGAGTACTCCAGGCCCCGGCTACTTCAACACAAGAAGCCAAACAGGTCTAATCTCGGCTGTGATTTCTCGGGTACTACTCGAACACGAGCTATCAGGTAGATAAAATAGCTAATCAAGGGGCTCCCCACAGGATAAAGAACAATATTTACACTCACACAATAGGGGTATCTTAAGGGATTAAAGAACTTTATTCGGTAATAACCAATATTTGCCCCCCAAATCAAACTTTGATGGAGATATATTATATTAAGTTCTTAAACAGAGGAGTATATGCTGACTTCAAAGCACAGAATTTTTATTTTCATAAGTAGAAAATCTTTCTTTCATAAGTAAACGCCATATGTACGTAATGACGTCACAAATATGAGGTAAATTTCAGTTTTTTATGAATTTTACAGAAAAATGTACATATTTCGTCGATATTTTGAGTAAAAGTCACCGAGCGCATGTGTGTTCAGGATCAATATTTTGATATAATGTGTAGAATGATAATATCAATGAAATATGTCAATATTGTTCCTGAACACACATATTTTCGTTCGCTCTATAAATTTTAAAGCTAAAATTGTTGAAATTTTGTCCATTTTGTCCTCTTTCTGAAAAAGGATATAAAATCGGACTAGTTTGTGACGTCATAAAAGAAAAAATTGTGAATACACTGCTTTGACACTATAATATTTTCTGTTAATTTATATTTCTCATACAATTTATTGAATTCAGCACATTTCAGGAAGTTTTCAAAATTTGACTTTTGTGGGGGCAAATATATGTAATATACCGCATATAGTTCTTTAGTTTGTTACATATGCCCCTTGGACTTAATTATGAAGAAGTTTATATCTAAACTTTTTTAGCTCACCTGAGTCGAAGGCTCAAATGAGCTTTTCTGATCACGTTTTGTCCGTCATCCGTCTGTCTGTCCAGCTGTCTGTCCGTCTGTAAACTTTTCACATTTTCGACTTCTTCTCAACAACCAATGGGCCAATTTTAACCAAACTTGGTACAAAGCAGCCTTGGGTGAAGGGGAGTTTAAATTGTTAAAATGAAGGGCCAAGTCTCCTTACAAGGGGAGATAATCAAGAAAAGACAAAAATAGGGTGGAGTCATTAAAAAATCTTCTTCTCAAGAACCACTGGGCCAGGAAAGCTGAAACTTATGTGGAAGCATCTTTGGGTAGTGTAGATATTAAATTGTTAAAATCATGACCCCTGGGGGTAAGGCGGGGCCACAATAGGGAATCCAAGTTTTACATAGAAATATATAGAACAAATCTTTAAAAATCATCTTCTCAAGAACCACTGGGCCAGGAAAGCTGAAACTTATGTGGAAGCATCCTAGTGTAGTGTAGATATTAAATTGTTAAAATCATGACCCTTAGGGGTAGGGCAGGGCCACAATAGGGAATCCAAGTTTTACATAGAAATATATAGAACAAATCTTTAAAAATCTTTTTCTCAAGAACTACTGGGCCAGGAAAGCTGAAACTTTTGTGGAAGCATCCTTGGGTAGTGTAGATATTAAATTGTTAAAATCATGATCCCCAGGGTTTGGACAGGGCCACAATAGGGAATCCAAGTTTTACATAGAAATATATAGAACAAATCTTTAAAAATCTTCTTCTCAAGAACCACTGGGCCAGGAAAGCTGAAACTTATGTGGAAGCATCCTAGTGTAGTGTAGATATTAAATTGTTAAAATCATGACCCCTAGGGGTAGGGCAGGGCCACAATAGGGAATCCAAGTTTTAGATACAAATATATAGTATATAATGTTTGAATAATGTTTGAATAAATCCATTCTTAAAGATAAACAAATCTTGTTAATTAATTAAGGTAAATCTCAGGAATAAGAGGACCCACATAATTTTTGTAACACCCAAGATCAGGTAACATTACACAGCCTCTATCAAGTGTACAAAAGGAAAGAGTACTTTTAAGTCAAGAGTTTTATCTTACAAAATGGCATTTTAGAACGTGAAAGTGATATGTTTCACTACTATACTGAAAGGAAAAAGAAACGCATATTTTACTTTTAAATTAAATGAAAACTATTATTTCGAAAATGTTTTCCAGTATTGTTATCAAACATTTTAATTCATCTTTAATCTACAAGTTACCAAAATCGAGTGTGACTTTGACTGATAATTCCTGAGTTATTGAAATTGATACGTCGATACCCCCCCCCCAAAATTAAAATAAAAATTCTCATAATCTCCCTTGCACATTGGTAACAGCCTTGATTTTCCTGTGCATTGAGTTCACCAGCGCATTTATCTTTCTCATTTGATTATTATTCAACTCTTCCGACAATAGTCTTAATGGTTGATAGAAGCTGTATTATTCCAAAGCCAACAAATCCCCCCGCCAAATGAGTGCCACGAATTTTCATTTTAGGATAGAATTTACAGAATCCAGCTGTTTTGGTACACGTGAATGTTTGTGAGAAAGTCTCGACAAACACTGGCTACATTTTCCCAGTGTTAACATGCTAAAAACATTACACACACGACGTGTACGTGCACGCGTGAGAGTAAAATCGACGTAAAAGTTGCCAAGCTCGCGGACAAAATTAGAGCAGAGAATTTCTGTCAATTTTAGGTTGAAAATATTGGTATGATAGTTTGCTGTATAAATATCGGTTTCAGTGATAATGCCTTGACAACAACCGAGGTGACATGATGAAAAGCCCTGTCTTGATGTGACGTTGTTACGCGTCAACGTCACCGCCATGGTTGGTTGGAAACCTTTTAATTTAATCTCTGACAACTGAAAAACCCTTTCTTGTTGAAAAGTTTAAAACAAACTGCACAGCAACATCTTGTTGCCTTTTCATTCACTTACGCAATTCAATTACTGGAGCCGTTGTAACTTCCGTCAGCCATGCCATGATTGCACGAAATTTATACTGATTTCAAATGCGGAAAACGATGTCTATAACTCCAATGCATCGATTAGCACCACAAAATGTGATCATAGAATTGTCATCATCAACATGCACGTGTTTTTGGCTTTTTATCATTTCCCCTACGTGACGCCATACATTTCATGGTTGAGTAATTTTGACCAGCAATTTTAGTGCACAGTAATCAAAATACACATTTGACCAATTTTCATAATTTTCGGCCTTATAGTTAAATATGTTTCGCTATTATGCTATTATGCGTTTCTCTTTCCTTTCAGTATAGTTTAAAAATATATTTTATTATTTTATTGATAATGTCAGTGTTATCACACTTAAACTCAGTTGGATGTTTATGCAACACATCTGTGCTAAAATAATACAAATGTAGTGCCAAGAATTATTATAGTGCTTTAATGGTGGAACATTCATTACATTGTATTGTTATTTATTCTTTAAAATTATTTAAGATGGGACCCCATTGGAAATAAGCTCTTGAGCTTTAATGGGTTCAGGGGTAGACAAATAGAATTTTGCAGTACTTGCCCTCGGACAGGTTACCATCGTAAAACTACTTGTCCTACCAAAAAATATGCTTGTCCCAACTTTTTCTTAAATAACATAGAATTCAAGCATTGATATTAAATTATTTCTTTTGAGTGAGACACCAAAACACTACATGAAGACCATCCTAGATCTAAAATCGCGAAATTCTTCCACAGATAAATTTAGAGGAAAATGTTTAATTTAAACGTGTTTAAGGAGTATTCCTCCTCAAAATTCTGCAATAAGACACCTTTCTTTAAATTAGTGTATTTATTTAATGAAAAAGGTAAAGATATCGAACTTTGATCAATCTCATAAAACCCACAAACAACACGAATCTGTGAACAGAAACACTACTGCATGGCGATTAAGAGATCGACATCATGGCTGTGTGATTGCCAGGGAACAGCAATCAACAACAATTTTAATACCACTAGCATCTGTATTCACAGTATGAATTTAATATTTTGACAAATGTCTAAATTCCCATACAACGTTTTTGACGACATCGATAACTCCATGTTTTACGACATCTGCATATTTTAACAACACATTAATGGGTTAATTCTAGAGGAGTTCCGATTATTCGATCTACGTGCAGTGGTCAACAGCAGTGAAAACAGGTGCTTTGCTGTGATTCATGTGATTACTTTAAAAGCGATTACACAAAAGATATTTAAGAACCGTACATGATTTTTTTTGTTAATTGGAAAAAAGTACTTGTCCGCGGGCAGGCACCTGTTATCAAATTACTTGCCCTCCAACCAAAAATGGTTGTCCCGGGCGTCGGCAATGCTATTTGTCTAGCCCTGGGGTTATCCTTTATATCAATCTAGTCACAGTGGAATTGTTACTATTTCTTAAATGTGGTTATCTTAATTATTTATTTGTGTATAAATCTATATGTAATCTGGATTGCCAACTTTTATCTTTCATATGATCATGTATAATTATATAGTGTATTTGTTTTATGTATGATGAAATGATGCCAAATTTAAACTACTACTAGTCTCTACTACTAACTGATAAAATTAGTACCTTTATTAACTTGCTAAATTAAAAGTTTTTTGGAAGGCTGAACTTTTATGAAACAATATTAAATTTCACAAGCCATTGAACTAGGAAGACAAACAACTTAGATTTTTAAAAATAATGCCTTGTGTACTTATAGCACCAACGAAACGGTTTCTTATTCGGAAGTGGTCAAACAACATTAATATTGATTTCTCTTTGGAAAAAAAAGGTTGAAACTGTATCAAACATATTTTTATTTTTGCAGAATGGGCAGAAGCTCTAACAGAAGCTAACAAGGGAAAACATTTTATTGGTGATTTCTTGCCTCCAGATGAATTGGAAAGATTCATGGAAACATTCAGGGTATATATCTAAGCCAAAAATTAGAAAACAATTCATTTATTAGAGCCCCACAAGGATTTGTGGGTGCCTTACAGTATTCACTCTGTCTGTCTGTCAATCTGACATTCTTCCATCCACAAATTTTCTGGGTTTTTTCTTAGCTCACCTGAGCCGAAGGCTCAAGTGAGCTTTTCTGATCACATTTTGTCCGTCGTCTGTCTGTCTGTACACTTTTCACATTTTTAGATCACGTGAGTAATAAACTCGGTGACCTATTGCTATCTGTTTTTGTCCGATGTGCATTGTGCATTTGAACATTTTCAGCTTCTTCTCTGAACCGCTAAACCAATTTCAACCAATTTTGGCATAAAGCATTTATGGGTGAAGGGGAACACAAATTGTGAATTTCATGGTCCTTGCCCCTCTGGGGCCTGAGGGGTGGGGCCAAAACCATTAAAATTAATGCAATCTTTAAAAAACTTCTTCTCTACTCTTGGACACCAAGCAGTCAAACTGTTGGTATGATTGTAATCAGCATTGAGTTCTCTACCAAAATTTTGAAATTCATGGCCCCAGGGTCAGGGGTTCTAGTGTTAGGGTGGGGCTAAATAGATTATATAGTGAAAATGCATTATTTCTTTGAAAATCTTCTCCTCTGCTCCTGTGCATTTAATAAACTAACCAAGTACATAGTTATGTTGAGTAAGGCTGCCTTTTCCAAAATTGTGAATTTCGTGGTCCCAGGGCCAGGGGTTCTAGGGTTGGGCTGTATTTATTACATAGTGAAAATGCATTATTTCTTTGAAAATCTTCTCCTCTGCTCCTGGGTATTAAATAAACCAACCAAGTACATAATTATAATGAGCAAGACTATCGCTTTCTAAATTGTGAATGTCATGGCCCCAGGATTGGCGATTCTGGTGTTAGGGCGGGGCTCTATTAGTGAATACAGTGCATATAGTGAAAATGCATAAATTCTTTAAAAATCTTTTCCTCTGCTTCTGGGTATTAAACCAATAAACTATGTACATAGTTATGATGAGCAAGAATGTCTCTTCTAAAATTGTGAATTTCATGGTCCCAGGGTTGGGGGCTCTGATGCTAGAATGGGGCTCTGTAGACCTTTTCCTTTGACATATTTTGCCTAGGAGTTATTCTCCTTCTCTGCCATCTTGTAGGGCAAAATAGTGAATTTACCTCTTTGAGAAACCAATTTTAAACAAGCATGCAAGGAATATATGGGGGAAAATATTTACAAGCTTAAAATTATGAATCAATAGAGGCTTTAACAAACGTATATTCATAAGTAAAGTAGTGTTATCTTTCCCTCAGTAATCAGTGTAACAAATTGAACTGGGTTGAAAAATGAAGGGATCTGGGAATGTTGCCCTACAAGATGGCAGCAAAGGGGAATAACTCCTAGGCAAAATTTATCATAGGAAAAGGGTCTATTGATCATATGGTGAAAATGCATAAATTCTTTGAAAATCTTCTTCTCTGCTCTTTGGTATTAAATAAACTAACCAGGTACATACCGTATATGTTGAAATTTTAGCGAGACGCAAATTTAGCGATTTAACCTTAAAAATAAGTACTTTAATTAGGGCCCCGCAAGAATTTGTGGGTGCCCTATAGTAATCACTCTGTCTGTCTGTCTGTCATTCTTCTCATCCACAAATTTTCTGTTTTTTTTGTAATAATTTTTAGCTCACCTGAGCCGAAGGCTCAAGTGAGCTTTTCTGATCAAAATTTGTCCGTCGTCTGTCGTTGTTGTCGTTGTTGTTGTAAACTTTTCACATTTTCATCTTCTTCTCAAGAACCACTGAGCCGATTTCAACCAAACTTGCCACAAAGTATCCTTGGGTGAAGGGGATTCAAGTTTGTTCAAATGAAGGGCCACACCCTTTTCCAAGGGGAGATAATTATGAATTAGAGAAAAATTAATGGCATTTTTAAAAAATCTTCTTCTCAAGAACCACTGGACCAGGAAAGGTGAAACTCATGTAGAATCATTCTCAGGTAGTGTAGATTCAAATTTGTTCAAATCATGACCCCCAGGGGTAGGGTGGGGCCAAAATGGCCGATCAAAGTTTTACATAGGAATCATAGGAAAAATCTTTAAAAATCATCTTCTCAAGAACCACTGGGCCAGGAAAGGTGAAACTCATGTGGAATCATCCTCAGGTAGCGTAGATTCACATTTGTTCAAATCATGACCCCCGGGGGTAGGTTGGGGTCAAAATGGCGGATCAAATTTTTACATAGGAATATATAGGAAAAATATTTAAAAATCTTCTTCTCAAGAGCCACTGGGCCAGGAAAGATGAATCTCACATGGAATTATCTTCAGGTAGTGTAGATTCAATTGTATTCAAATCATGACCCCCGGGGGTAGGGTGGCGCCAAAATGGCCGATCAAAGTTTTACGTAGGAATATATAGGAAAAATCTTTAAAAATCTTCTTCTCAAGAACCACTGGGCCAGGAAAGATGAAACTCATGTTGAATCATCCTCAGGTAGTGTAGATTCAAGTTTGTTCAAATCTTGACCCCCAGGGGTAGAGTGGGGCCAAAATGGCCGATCAAAGTTTTACATAGGAATATATATAGGAAAAATCTTTAAAAATCATCTTCTCAAGAACCACTGGGCCAGGAAAGATGAAACTCATGTGGAATCATCCTCAGGTAGTGTAGATTCACGTTTGTTCAAATCATGACCCCCGGGGGTAGGGTGGGGCCAAAATGACTGATCAAATTTTAACATAGGAATATATAGGGCAACCATTTAAAACTTTCTTTTCAAGTATTTCAAAGCCATGATTAGTTAAATTTATATGGAAACATCCTCAAGTAGTGTAGATTCTAGTTCGTTCAAATTATGATCCCCTGGGGGGGGGGGGTTAAAATTAAAGCCCCCCCCCAACCTCAGTAAACTTTCAGTTCTGATCTGATATGTGCTTTTTCCTAGCTGATGTGCTCAGGTGAGCGCTGTGTCCCCTGGGCCTCTTGTTTTTGTAGTTGTCCAGTTTAGTTCAAATTTGGTATGGTAGTTGAATAGGGAGTAAGACATGTTTTAATACTAAGAATGTTTCTGTATGTCACCCTGTTCGGAGCTGGGGTGGTGGGGTAGGTTCTCAGCTTTATATATAAGATTTCTGTTTTTTTCTTAAAATATTTTCTTGTAGGTGTCCTATTAAGTTCAAATTTGGTGTATAAAATGAATAGGGAGTAAGACATCTTTTAACATGAAAAATGTTTCTGTATGGCACCCTGTTCAGAGCTGGGGTGGTGGGGTAATTTCTCAATTGTAAATATAAGATTTATGTTTTTTTGTAATTATTTTTTTTTGTGGTTGTCCTATTCAGTTTAAATTTAGTATGTTAGTTGATTAGGTTATAAGACATCTTTTAATATTAATTAAGCTTCTGTATTTCACCGTGTTTGGAGGTGGGTAGGAGGGGTATGTCCTCAGCTGTATATAGTATACATGTATAAGTGAATGAGCAAAGAGAGATAAGTGCTGAACATGTTCCCTTTGCAAACTAGGAAAACTGAAATGAGTCCCTTGTGTTTAATTAATGTCTTCTACACCTCTATTTGCAAGTGATGTTTATTTTGAAGTAATTTTTGTTTGCTTTTATTTAAGGGTGGGATTTGATAAAGTATATGGTTCATTCTGGTTCAATTACTAATATTATGTAAAATAAAAAAAATAATTATATAATATATGTATTAGAATAAATTTATTAGTCAGATATAATTTTTTTTAATTGTTTTTTGTGATCATTTTTTTTTCTCTTTTTTTTAGGTCACCTGAGTAAACTCAGGTGACCTATTGCTATCTGTTTTCGTTGTGCGTCGTGCGTTGTGCATTGTCCGTTAACATTTGAACATTTTCAGCTTCTTCTCTGCAACCACTGAACCAATTTCAACCAAATTTGGCACAAAGCATCTATTGGTGAAGGGGAACACAAATTGTGAATTTCATGATCCCTACCCCCCTGGGGCCTGAGGGGTGGGGCCAAAACCACTAAAATTAATGCAATCTTTAAAAATCTTCTTCTTTACTCCTGGACATCAAGTAGTCAAACTGTTTGCATGATTGTAACCAACAATGAGTCCTCTACCAAAATTGTGAAATTCATGGCCCTGGGGTCAGGGGTTCTAGTGCTAGGGCGGGGCTAAATAAGTAGGTAAGGAAAATGCATTATTTCTTTGAAAATCTTCTTCTCCATGCTCCTGGGTATTAAATAAACCAACTAAGTACATAGTTATGATGAGCAAGAGTGCCTCTACCAAAATTGTGAATTTTATGGCCCCAGAGTCAGGGGTTCTGGTGTTAGGGCGGGGCTCTATTGATTATATAGTGAAAATATATGAATTCTTTGAAAATCTTCTTCTCTGCTCCTGGGTATTAAATAAACTAACTAAGTAAATAGTTATGATGATCAAGAGTGCCTCTACCAAAATTGTGAATTTTATGGCCCCAGGGTCAGGGGTTCTTGTTTTAGGGTGGGGCTCTAATGATTATATAGTGAAATGCATGATTTATTTGAACATCTTATCCTTTGCTCCTGGTTAATATACTAATGATCTAATTCCATATTTAAGGCCAGGATTTATTTTATTTTCAGTTTTACAAACCCTCCGCTCAAGGTTTTGAATTTTCAGAAAAAAATTTTAAAAAATTTCTTTACGATGTCAAATTTGAGTCGGGATCGAGATTTCAAATTTACGAACTCGCACTTCCGGTTTTACGATGAAACGGCGGGTGAATAAAGCTGAGAAGATAGCAAAATTCATCGATAAGAGTGCCATTCAAAACGTTTCACCCGTTCAAAGGACAAATAAAATGCTGACGACTTTGTTGCACAATATCATGCTGGTGAGATAATTATGTATTCGTTTCAAAAGTAACTGTCTGTAAATTATTTTCCTCCCCCAGGTTTTAAACTGCCCATGGTAGCTATTGCATATTGCCAGCGACATTGTTTAGGTCTCTGTTTTAGCTTACAGTCTAAG